AAGATAGCTATGCTAATCATGTAACGTAATTTATCACAATGGTTCAATAAGTTATCTGGCATGCTCTAGCTTAATCATATTATTTATCATGAGTCAATTAGGCCATAGAAACCACCAAAATCATGGAGAAAATAAGACAAGTATATGACTACGAATTTATAATAAATATCAACATGGAAAAACAATCATTTATGCCAAATCAACAAGTCATAACCTTAGCATGCTCCTAAATCATGTATATAAATTATCATGTAGTCATAAAATCAATTTGGACATGGATAATAACTTCACACAATCCAAACAAAATATAATTCAAGTCAACAATACTAATAAGGTCAAAACCTAACTACGCATATACACTCGTTATGTCGTATATATGTGACTCCTAAATCATGAATCAAGTAGCAAATAGATCACCTATGAGAAAAATTCTCTCTTACAAGGATAGACAAGCGACTTACCTCTGCCTAATAAGCAACAGTCGCCTACCCATCCAAATGACTCAAATCTAGTAAAGCAACAACTTAATAACGTCAAATAAAGCCATAGGAACCAACTCAAAACAATAAAGTTTCGAACTTTAATCTAATCTCCAAAGGTCAACACGGGTCCATACGGTCAAAACCTGAGTCAAGGGGTAGATCCAAGTAAGTGATTAGATTACAAAATTGAGTCCAAATCAATCTTCAAATCCCAAAATATACCCTCTTAAGTTATTAAAAAAAATCCCAGATTTTACTTTAAAAATTCATATTTTAGGTGTAGAAATTCATAAGGAATCAATATATAAAGCCAAATCTAAGTAAAAATTTCTTACCTCCAATGTAATAGTGAAATCACGCTTCAAAATCTCCACCTCTCGAAGTCTAGGATTCAAAATATGAGAGAATGGGTAAAATTCTGAAATAAATATCTTAAGTGATCTTCCTAGCAGTACCCTTCGCGAATGTGGTCCAAGCCATGGGTTCGCGAAGCACAACAACCTCAGCCCCATAATAATCCAAATCTAAATGTGAAGGTCCTCCCGCGACCGCGAAGCACAAGCATACCAAGCCTATGCGAACGCGAGCTCAGCTCCGCGAATGCGAAGGCAAACTCCCATCCCGACTCTTCTGCTATGCGAATGTAAAGGTTCTCCCCTGAATGCAAAGATCAACTAGCCCACCCTTCACGAACACGAGCCTTGGTGCAAACGTGAAGCATAAAATCCCACCTGCCATAATCCTTCATTGCAAACACTAGACACCCCTCGCAAACGCGATGGACACCAGACACCAGCAAAATCTGATGCTCCAAAACTCATAGAAGTGATCTGAAATCACCCCAAAACACATCCGAGCCCCCTGGGACCCCGTCCAATCAAGACAAAAAGTTTATATACATAATTCAAACTTGTCCAAATTCTCAAAATACCACAACTAACATCAAAATCAAGAATCGATGATCAAAATCCATCTCTTAACTTTTAAACTTTCTAACTTCGCCAAACTTGTCAGAATCACACTTAGACATTTTGGATCACTACCAAACTTTGCACATCAGTTTCAATCAATTAAACAAACCTATCCAAAGTATCGGTACACCGATCGAGCCCCAATTATATCAATGTCAACTCCCGGTCAACCCTAACAACTCTCCAAACTTCCAAGTTGCAACTTTCGGCAAAAGAGCTAAAACCTCCTAAAAATATCCAAACATAAATGTGAAGGTCCTCCTGCGACCGCGAGGCACCAGCATACCAAGCCTATGCGAACGCGAGCTCAGCTCCGCGAATGCGAAGGCAAACTCCAATCCCGACTCTTCTGCCATGCGAATGTAAATGTTCTCCCCTGAATGCAAAGATCAACTAGCCCACACCCTTCATGAACACGAGCCTTGATGCAAACGTGAAGCATAAAATCCCACCTACCAGAATCCTTCATTGCAAACACTAGACACCCCTCGCGAACGCGATGGACATCAGACACCAGCAAAATCTGATGCTCCAAAACTCTTAGAAGTGATCTGAAATCACCCCGAAACACATCCGAGCCCCCTGGGACCCCGTCCAATCATGCCAAAAAGTTTATATACATAATTCAAACTTTTCCAAATTCTCAAAATACAACAACTAACATCAAAATTAAGAATCGATGATCAAAATCCATCTCTTAACTTTTAAACTTTCTAACTTTGCCAAACTTGTCAGAATCATACTTAGACATTTTGGATCACTACCAAACTTTGCACATAAGTTTCAATTAAATAAACGAACCTATCCAAAGTCTCGGTACATCGATCGAGCCCCAATTATATCAAAGTCAACTCCCGATCAACCCTAACAACTCTCCAAACTTTCAAGTTGCAAACTTTCGGCAAAAGAGCTAAAACCTCCTAAGAATATACAAATCTAAATTCGATCATATGTACAAATCCGAAATTACCATAACAACCTATAGAAATAACCAAATCACAATTCCGAGAGCGTTTATCCAAAGGTCAATCTTTGATCAACTTTTACAACTTAAGCTTCCAAAATGAGACTAAGTATCTCAAATTCCTCTCAAATCTTTTCGAAACCAAACCAACAGTCCCTGCAAGTCATAAAATAATAAATAAATATATAAAAAGCATCAAATAGAAGAAACGAGACTCAAATACACAACAAAGCTAGCCAGATCGTTACATAATCATAGTATACCATAGTTAAAGTATAAGTATACTAAACAATATACCAAGAATGTTGTGAATACTATGTAACATACATGAATTAATGATGTTGAGTGACCTCTCATGGATCCACTATTTATTTTTTGGCCCAGGTAAAGAATATGTTGGTTTATTTGCCCTTGCGTAAATTTTGGCTAAAATATATAACCATTATACCCTTTAATATATTTTAGGTCTATACACTTGCAATTTTCTCTTTCTTTTGTTTTCTCTTCTCAATTTGCTAAGAAGCTCTCTAGGGTTCCAATCAGAGTTTATTTTTTAAAACTCAGATGGGGTATAAATTATAATTTTAAAGTCCCAAAGCTAAGTTTAACATATAAGACATGAGTTATAGAATATCTCATATTTTAGACACAATGAGGTAGCATAAACTGTTGTCATGGTACATAAAGTATGGTTTTAATGTTCTTGAGAGTTTTGCCTATAAGACAGGAGTTATAGAGTATCTCATAAGTTAGACACTATGAGATAAAGTAAATAATTGTCCATGAAGCATAAGTTATAATTTTATAGTCCATGGGATAAGTTTTGCTTGGCAAGAGTTAGAGTATCTCATAAGTTAGACACAATGAGGTAGTATAAAGTGTTGTTCATGGGGAACGAGTTGTGGCTTCAAATCTCTGATCTAAGTTTTGCATATGTTGCAAGAGATGTGGACTATCTCATAAATTAAACATAGTAAGGTAGTATAAAGTATTGCCCATGGGAATAAGTTATGGCTTCAAAATCCTTGAGTTATGTTTTATCTATGAGGCATGAGTTGCAAAGTATCTCATAAGTTAGATTTTACAAGCTAGTGTAATGTATTGCCTTTGCGGCATAACTTGTGGACCAACAATAGTTGACAAAAGGAGCAACAATATTCTTTAATATTCATCACATTTTCCCAATAAATTTTAATCTAGCTTCCTCAATTATTCACCGAACGTACTAAAATTTCACCCACAAATTTCTAATCACAGCTCCAGCAAATCCTAGCGATAATTTTGGATCAAACTTCAATAACTCGTAAAAGTCAATTGTTTGTTCTTCAAAAGCTTCAATCCCAAGAATGTGAACATTTTTTCCCATAAAATTCGATTAAATCGATGTTAAAACAACAAACTAAATATCAAAAGATAACACTCATTGATTTCGGCCAAAAATAATTTAAATTTGTAGAACCCATATTTGAAATCCTCCATCTTTGACGTTCCTCTTCTCCTTCATTTCGCCACCCCTCTTATTCTCCATCCTCTATCTTTTGTTATTATGTTCCTGCTTCTGCTGCTTTTGGGATAAGAGGATATTTTTGTCTAGATAATGATCATTAAATCAAAGTGAGGCTATTTTTATTAGGACTCTAAGAGTTTATCTCATATTTGTAGTTACTCCATATATGTGATGGACTCTTAATACTTATCTTTGTAGGTGATATACTTATCCCAATGTATGTATCCATATAATATAAATACAAGTAACAATGGCTCTCTAATTACTGAGCCATTTAATGAAATCTATCATGATATCAGAGCAAGTGTAATGGGTTTATCGTATTAAATATAATTTGGATGGGTCAGTTGAGCGATACAAGGCCCGACTTGTAGCACAAGGATTTCATCAGCAACTTGGCATTGATTATCATCAAACATTTAGTCATGTTGTTCGTGCTACCACTATTCACATTGTTCTCTCTCTTGCCGTTTCTTTTTCTTGTCCTATTCATCAACTTGATGTTAAAAATGCTTTTCCGCATGGTTTTCTTAATGAACAAGTCTTTATGAAACAACCTCCAGGTTTTACTCATCCTGATTATCCTCGTCATGTTTGTAAGCTAACTAAAGCGCTCTATGGTTTGAAGCAGGCACCACGTGCTTGGTTTCATCGCTTTAGTTCATTTCTCATGGCTCATGATTTTATTTGCAGCAAATCAGATACATCCATGTTCATTCACCGTTCATCATCTGGTATTCTTATTTTGTTACTTTATGTTGATGTCATTATTCTTACTGGTAGTCATTCTTCTCTTCTTGATCACTTCATTAGTCGCCTCTCTAGACAATTTGCCATGAAAGACTTAGGTGATCTTCATTACTTTCTTGGTGTTCAGGCAGTTCGTTCTTCTAATGGTCTTCATCTGTCACAATAGAAGTATATTTCTGATTTGCTTCTTAAATTTCACATGCCATACATGCAAACCGGTTCGCACCCCTATTGCTTCTCGCACTTCTCTTTCTATTATGGATGGTGAGTTACTTTCGGATCCTAGTGAATATAGGAGTATGGTTGCCGCTTTTCAATACTTAACTATGACTCGCCCAGATATTGCCTATGCTGTTAACATTGTTTCACAATTTATGCATGCTCCACGTACTACTCATCTGCATTGTGTGAAGCGCATTTTCAGGTATTTACAGGGTACCATAACATATGGATTGTTCTTCCGTCCTCCTCATCCACCTCTTTTATATTAGCCTATTCGGATGCTGATTGGGCTGGTTATCTTGATAGTCGACGCTCTATCACAGGGTTTTGCGGTATTTTTAGGCTCTAATCTTATCTAATGGCGTGCAAAGAAGCAACCAACAGTCTCTAAATCTTCTACAGAGGCTGAGTACAGAGCTATCACCTATACTGTGGCTGAGACATCTTGGATTCGTAATATTCTTCATGACATCGGGCTCTATCTTCGTAACCAGTTCATGTTCTTTGTGATAATGTGAGCTCTACATATATGTCTCGTAACCCTGTGTTTCATGACCACTCAAACACATTGATATTGATTTTCATTATGTTCGTGAAAAGGTTGCTCAAGGGGATCTTGTTGTTCGATATGTGCCAACTCGGTTACAGTTTGCAGATATTTTCACAAAGGGTTTACCATCATCTCAGTTCAGCTTCTTACGTGACAATCAGTCCGTCATGTCTTCCAGTCCAGATTGAGGGGGCGTATTAGGACTCTAAGAGTTTATCTTATATTTGTAGTTATCCCATATATGTGATGGACTCTTAATACTTATCTTTGCAGGTGATATACTTATTCCAATGTATGTATCCATATCATATAAATACAAGTAACAATGGCTCTCTAATTACTGAGCCATTTAATGAAATCTATCAATTTTCTCATGACTTTTTTTACCGGGTCAAAAAATCAATAGTGGCACCAAGTGTTATATTTCTGTCATTCACCCTATAACATACTAATAATCACAATATACTTTCATTCAACAGTAGTCATAGTATATCATGATTTAAATATAATCATGGTGTACTATATATCAAAGGGTCGTTTGTTTGGAGATAAATTTTGAAGGGATTAGTTATGGAAGAATTTATGTTATCCGGCGATTAAGTTACTTAGGGATTAAAAACTTATATGAATGAATATCATGTTCAATATTCTTTTTCACATAGTTTTCTTTTTTGAACAATGTATTATTTCACATAGTTATTACTTAATAGGAGAGTATTGTGTGACAGAAAAAAGGATAGTAACTATAATCATCAAACGTCCACTGATATGTGAAAAAGAAATAATTTCTCACGACTTAAAACTTTCGATCTACTAACTAAAAGTGCAGTGTCTGACCAACTAAATCAGTTGTTTTTTGTGTTGTTATTTAAAATTGATCTAGTAATACTATAATTCGAACAATAGGATCTTGACTACACTATTGGGAATCACAAGCAGTAGATGATTGTTCCTAGTATTTAAAAAAAACGAGATTTTAAAAAGGTATTTAATATAGGCATTCTTATTTCACGTTTTATTCTATATAAAAAAATACAAATATTTTTGCATTATTGTATGCAAGTATTATTTTATACAGGTATAAAAAAAACCTAACCAATCATTGCAAAGTATTGTAAATTTTATATGAAAATCAAAATACCAATTAAATATAAGTTGTGCAAGATTTATAAGGATATCAAAATGTCAACCAAATATTGTATTAAGTTATGTTGGATTTTATACATGATTATACATGAATTAATGTATAAGGAAGGCAAACCAAGCAACCTCTAAGAATAATATGCACACCACCGTTTTGCATATTATAGCCTTGTTCCCTTATTTGATGTTTTCCGTATGTGTATTTGGTGCTATGTGACTTACATGGATGATTGGTTTGGGTTCTCAAAGGTTTTGGAGTGAATTGGAACACTTAATTCCATGGTTGGAAGCATAAGTTGTAAGAGTTAACCAAGGTTTAAATTTATGTAGACGATCCCAGAATGATATTTTGATGGTTCCAATATGTTTATATGGTGATTTTGGTCTTTGGCATATATCCGAATTTGGATTCAGAGGTTGCTCGGTTATTTTGGCTTAAATTGGTGAAAGTTGGACCTGAAGGTCTGGAAGGTATAGGTTTGACCGGGAGTTGACTTTGGTATTATCGGGTTCCGATTGTTGTTCCGAAAATTAGAATAAGTTTGTTATTTCATTTTGAATTTGTATGAAAAATTTGAGGATTTCGAGTTGACTGGATGTGGTTCAACATGGGGTTTGAAAGATTGAAATGTGACAAGTTCATTAGACTTGAATTAAAGTGCGATTCATAGTTTTGATATTATATGATGTGATTTAGGACCTTGAGTAGATCCATGTTATATTTTAGGACTAGTTGGTATGATTGAACAGGGTCCCGGAGGTCTAAGGTGAGTTTCGAATGAGCTTCAGATCATTTTGACCTTGTTTGGCATTCCTGTTCTGATGTCTTCGCACCTACGAGATTTGATCCACAAATGTGGATGGTTGATCGAAGATGCGGAGTTAGGGGGAGGCAACTTGGGTTCGCAGATGCGAAGGACTTTGATAATGCGGTGGCGCATGTGCACTTCCTTGACCGTAGAAGCAACTCCGCAGAAGAGGATGATTGGTAGTTTAGTGGAACTTGCAAAAGCAAGATTTGACGCAAAAGCGACTTTCTTGGTCGCAGAAGCGTAAATGCTGGGCAGAACATATTAATTCGAGGGTTTTGTTCATTTTGTTATATTTTGAGATTTAGAGGCAATTTTCACGACTTGGATTGGAGTAAGTATTTTTTACTCGAATTTGATTATTATTCATGATTCCATCGTTGATTTTAGAATTTGATAGTTTCATCTAAGTTAGAAAATTGGGAATTTTAGCAAAACTTTTCTAAAATAAAAAATAAAGATTTGAACCCCGATTCTGAATCGGATTTAGATGAAACTTGTATGGTTGGACTCATATTTGAATAGGTGTTCAGGATTTCTGAGTTATGTCGGGTTCCGGGGTGCGGGCTCGAGTTGAGTGTTTTGGTTGACTTTGTGAATTTTTATCCTTTATTGTTTGGGGTTATTTCCTATGGCCTTAATTAATGTTACTAAGTTATTTTTTGCTTAGATTCGAGCCGTTCAAAGGTCGGTTCGTGTGGGGAGGCTATTTTAGATTATTGATTTGGATTATTTAATGTAAGTATCTTGCCTAATATTGGTTGAGGCGTTAGTTGCCTGAGTTATTAGTATCGACTACGTGCTATGGGCGGCGCACATGCGAGGGGTTGAGCCCGTGTGCATATACCCAGGTTTTATCCAAGCTCGGGGTAGTACTTATGCTATGTTATGCCTTGAATTGATTGCTAAGCTTCATGTTATCATGATTCATGCGTTTGTACCCTTTTGTGAGCTACTTGAATTGCATTAGAGATCATGTTTAGGATAAACCTCCCATTCAAACATGTTAATTGCCTTATCGTAGCTTTATTAGCACACGCCACACATGCATACACCTTAGCATGTCACTTTTATCGATCCATGAGCTTACAATTTGATATTTATTGTTTGTATACATGTATGTTTGTATATGCTTCTTGCGTGATATGGACGGATTTGTAGCACGTGAGTTGTCCGTGCAGTTTGAGTTATGATAGCACGTGAGTGATCCGTGCGATTGATATATATATGGCACGTGAGTTGTCCATGCAACTTGTAGATAAGGATCCATACCCCTAGGGTCACTCTCTCATTTTTCTCTCTTGATTGTGTACAAGCAATTTGATGATAACTTATACGTGTTTGGTTATTGCATATCTTCTCTATTTGCAAATACCTTGGATGTATACATGTTTTGAACGCATATTGTTGATATCCAATTTTGCCATCATATTTTTTCAAATAGTATATATATTTTTAAAATGTCATTTTGTATCATTACTTAATTTATAAGAGTTATACAAGTATTTTCAATAATTTTTCATAATTTTTAAAACTTTAAGAGTGATTTTCTTGCATTTTAATTACTTGAACATGTATTAATTACCACCTTAAATTATTTTGTGATGGTTTAACCATCCAACTCTATTATTTTCATCCACATATAAGTTTTATAATATTTTATTTTATTTTATATAATTAAATTTGTACTTTTTATGCCAAATACGTAATTTTGCAATAATAGCCTATATGTTTACAATTAATTGCTTTTGCCATTTTATTTAAGGTCAAAATAATATTTTGCATTTTTTATAATCTTCAACTATTTTTTTAAAGTATTAAATTTTATAAATAACATTTTTATATTTTTCTTTAACTATTTTATTAAATTATTTTCCCTTTTCTTTATGTGTTTGTTATTTACACTTAGTCGCTTAACCTAGATCGATGTAGTTGTAGTCATTACTATTTGTACTGATTCTCATGTGTTTTAATAAGAATCTTCAACTTCTACTCTCTTTATTTATTTGATCATTTTGCCTAATTATATAATCCACATAGTTTAAAGTCCGGCCGGGACCCACAATTGTAGACCTCGAAGAGTGCCTAACACCTTCTCTTTGAGGTAATTTGAGCCTTTACCTAAACTTTGGTGATACAGACTAGTGAAACAGAGTTATTTACAAATAGATGTCCTAACGCACCTTAAAAATCGTTAGGTGGCGACTCTTCTCTTTTAATATCTCACTTAAAAGAGTTGTCACGTCGAAGCCCGCTTTCACGAGAAAAAAGGGGCGCGACAGCATAACGACTCTACTGGGGATTACACTTAGTCTCTTACCATAATGAACTTGACTTATGTGGATTAGTCTATTTTTCTTTATTTGTTTTAAAACTGCTGTTACATGCACATCCCTTCCCTTATTCACCTTTATTTGTTTAAAATTTGCTACGACATGCACATCACTTCCCTTAGTCTCCTTTGTTTGTTTAAATTTGCTAGACATCCTTTTTCCTATTTTACTTTGTTTGCTATGACCACTCTCCATCTCTTCTCATCTTGTCTAAGATTGCTATATCATGTCTTTCCCATCCCTACTTCCTTACCTGCTTTATTACATTCCCGCATATATTTTTATGAACTAAACTGACTTCTTCCTTTTGTCTTTCTTCTTTATTCTTTCCATGTTTACTTTTGTTATCTTATTTACTGATTTTACATATTTTATCATGCAAATACTTAGCAATGTATTATTATTTCTGCATAAAGCATGCTCCACATTATACTCCACTTGCCAACTATCAACATAGCTGCACTTGATGAGTGCCCACGCTCTTCCAAAAATTATCTTTTTAAATCGAAAAAGCTTATTTGCGGTAGACTAGTCGATCAACAGTGCAATCGACGATCCCATGCCTTTCCCTCTCAAGTTGTCCACTTGGGAGTACCAGTCTAGACCATTCTAGAAACCCTACTCCAACTTGAAATGTACATGCATCATGCTAAACCTAGTACGAGTTGGAGCGTTATTAACGTAATAACCCGCTAAGATGAACCTTGTCCAAAGTCCGACGGGATTTCAACAATCCCAATAAATACTATTATATTATGTGCATTACTTGGAGAAAATGTGCCAACGTGTTGATCATTATTGCGTAAGTAGTCAAATTTAGAGAGGGAAAGGGCTAACCTTTGTTTGTTTGCAGAAAATGAAGCATGAAGTCCCTAGGTTTAGTATGGTCCAAAACATCCCACC